AATCTCACATTTCTGTTGTCAGTGGGGGGAAAAGGCATAGATGAATCAAGACAAAGGAGAGAACAAAGAAGGCCAAGGCTTCGGTAAAGGGGAAGCTATCACACAGAGAACACTAACCATCGGCACAATGCTAGGCGCTCTTGTGGCCCCCAGTGGAGAGGGAGCCACACACAAGCTATTGTGGCTGAAGAGGTAAGCAGGGCCCAAATGCCAGGGCCTGTGAGCTTCGTTCAGCAGTGGAGATGGAATGGGAACAACAAAGTGACAGGCTTCAATTGAGGCAGTAGGGTTAGTAGGCTGGGGAGGTATTTTTAACTGATTTCTAATCTTTGTGTTTTTAACACCATTTCTGTCTGCAATGAAGAAAATGTATGAAACAGGGCAAGTGTGCAAGAAGAAAAAGTCAGAGGCTGCTGTAATAGATGCACTGGAAGAGGATGATGTGAAGAAGTATAGCAGGGTGGACAGACAAAGAGAGTTTTCTGGAAAGTGAAATGGCCAGGTTGCGGTAACTGAATGGCCATAAAGGAGAGAGGAGTCCAAGACGATGACCAGGATTCCAGGCTGTGCCTGGAAGTCAGGGAGCCAGAAGGAGGCTGACAGCTGGTTTTTGGGGAAGACCTCTCAGCTGAAAGTCACAGTGGGACTTTCAGGCAAGGATGTCTAGCAGATGGAGATACGTGGTCGTCAGCCTCCACATAGCTAATCAGTAAATAAAATGAGACATAAACAGCATATTGCCAACATGTAAAGGGCAGGAGAAAGAAGATTAGGAAGAGGCGGCCACAGAAGCAGGAGGAAATCAAGAAAGCATGTCATCGTGTACGCCGAACAATGAGAGCCTTTCATGGAGGCAGTCAGTGCTAAAAGCGGCCAAGAAGTCAGATGAGACAAGGACTTACGGCAGTTTCTGACAAGCCTGACAAAACCAGAAGCTGTGGAGTAGGAGCAAGAGGTGTAATTCTAAATGCTATGCCAGAAAAATTACAAAAAACTGTATGGTCTAGATGTTTAGGATAACATGTAAAAAAGAATCCACAAAATGACCTCTAAACACCTGATAACAGATAAAGCAGAAAAGAACACTTGTAACTTCTTTATACATCACTATCAACCATCTGTCAACACAGGGTATGTTTTTATCTGAAATTTCAAAAGGAAAAAGTTCCAATACCTAGGGGACAGGTGACATTCCTAAAATACCAAGCAAAAAGTCTAAACATTCTGGTGTTTGGGCACTGAATTTTGCAAAAGGACCTCTGAAATGCCAACTGCATGGGCCAGAGGTCTCTACAGGGCTCCTGCAGGACCCAGAAGCCAGTCTCCTTCTAATTGGGCAGGGAGGATTCGAATACAAGGCAACAGTGGAAGCTAGAAGAGAGAGAAGGTTGCCATCAGCACAGGAACATGGCAGCATGAGGGGACTAAGTCACCCCAGCTAGCCTAGCACCATGCCCGATGAACACTAATCTCCTACCACCAAAAACCTTCATTTCAAGTGCCCTCATCTCCCTAACTAATTCAGGTTAGCATTTGCTTTCTGCAACATGCAGTCCAGCCAAACCCAACTGACAGGCATAAGAAGGAAACCTAAGAACTCAAGAAAGCAAAACACATCAGCCACAAAAACCACAGGCTGCTGTCCAGAGCAAGACAGCCCATTTGCTCTCATCTGAACGGAAGGCCACGCCTCTAACAAGAGCTGGGCGAACCTCTACTGTTGCCAGACAAGCAATAAGAAAGTCAGACTGTGGTGGACTGTCGCAATGGACTGTTAAACCCACTCTGAGTCATTCATGTTACAGAAAAGAAAAGGCATTTGCCCCAATGACAGAGTTTGGTTGGACCTGAGCAAAAACCTGTCTGGCTTTTATTTTGGGGGGGGGCAGGGGGGAATATACCAAAAGACCTTCTGATGGCCATTTGCTTCCAAATACCTATATCCAGCCCCAGCTCCCCCCAGGGCTCCAGACCCACAGAACCTAGCAACTCTTGCTCACTTTCTCTGGGCTAGCTCCAAAATGCAAACCCTAATATCTAGATTGAACTTATGACACTAGTTTTTTGCCCAGCAGCAGTTTTCATCCAGTGCTTCCTAGCTCAGTAGATGACATCACTGCCTATCCCATTCCCAAACCAGCAATAGGGGGCAATGATGTCCCCTACCTGAACTCTGGCCCCATCACTTCCTAAGTGTGACCTTGGGCAAACTAAATAAAATGCTTAAACCTCAACCTTCGTCATCTAAAAAATGGAATACCAGTAGTTATCTAAGAAGACAGACAGCTGTGAGCCCTGAAGGAGTTAATGTGTACAAAACGTTAAGCACATGAAAAATGTCTTGCACATGTGGTTCCATCTTCTTGCCTGACCCTCATTCTCACCCCTTCACCTGGTTCACACCTCTGTGTCCTCTTCATTCCAACTCAGATGTTACTCTCCCTAGAAGTAACATTTCTTTGGGCATCCAATGCCCAAAGAAAACTAATATTCCTTGATCAGCCCCTGTCTGTCCAGGCTAGGTCACAATCTGCCCCATTTTTCATCCTCAAAGTACAATACAGCTTCAATTCCCATCACATACTACATATATACTTTGTAATGTTTTGGGTACTAACATTTTGTATCCTCCAAAAGCCTGAAAGTTCCAGGACAGCTGGGACTGCTAGTGCTATACTTCATTTTTACATCCTCAACACCATACACCTGACAGTTAACAGGTGTTCGCTAAACATTGTTTGAATGAAGGGCTCAACAAGCATGCCTGGGCCAGGCATGGTGGTATGCACCTGTAATCCCAGCATTCGAGAGGCTGAGCCAGGAAGATCACCAGGAAGTTCAAGGCCAGCCTGGCCTACATAGCAAGACCCTGTCTCAAAAACAAGAAGCATGGTTGGCATGTTAGGGTGATCTGGCAGCGACATCTGTCACCCCACTGATGACCGGGGTTGATTCAGCTAAACTGGCTGGGTAGGCCAGTGTCCTCCTCCTCTCTCACTTCCAAGTGCGTCCCTCCCAAAGCTGCACACTCAGAAGAGACCGACCACCCCCAATAGAGAAGGAGCGTTTCCTCAGTCAAGGGTATATGAGTAGCTACACTCCCCTGCTAGAACCTGCTACAAGCTCTCAAGAAGTATGTTTGTAAGAAAAGGGGACCTAGCGATTAGACAAGAAGTCAGAGTGCACTAACCCAAATGATACTCTTGGCCACCCCTTCAGGGGGCCTAGGTAAAAAGGATCCAGCGAGCCCATGCTACCACTGCAAAGCTCAGATATCTCAGATGCCTCCCCTTCAGAAGCTGCACAGCCATGCCCTGGAGAGCTTGGGGACAAATCTAGTCCCTCCAATGTCTTCCCTAGGTAAACTTCCTCCACAATAGGTGTGATTGTCATGTGTATTTAAAACACATATTTTTGTGCAAGATTTCTAAATGCAGCCAACTACTACATCTGGACCTCAGCTGAAGAAACAACTGTCTGCTCCAACTCGGGGGATAAAACAAAGCTATACTGGCCTTAGGAGAGAAGGGTCTTGATTCATCAATGTGGTACACCAATAAGGGATTTCCAAAAATAACTTATGGGTGGGGAATGTAGCTTGGTGGTAGAGCACTTACCTAGCATGCACAAAGCCCTAGGTTCTATCTCCAGCACCACAAAAAAAACACCTTTTTTGCTACCCCCAATGTTTGCTTATACAGCAACTCTAGAACCTAGCCTTCTTATAATATGGGGCTGTGTGCTGGTCAAAGTATTTCAAAGTGAAGGTTTGGCACCACAGCAGCCTAGACTCAAATTCTGGCTCTGCCACTTACTAGTTATGAATAAAACTTGGCACCAATTGCTTGACCTCTCTCAGACACAGTCAACTCGTCTGTACTAATAAAGATAGCAACACCTATAGTCTATGGTTATAGAACATATTAAAAATATAAAAAAAATCACGGCTGAATCATTATCTTTTTAAAAAGCCCTTTGTACACAGAAAATGACCTCAAGAGATGAACTTCTGCACTATGTCTAACATGGTGTCCCATCCCCAGAAGGTATTCAGTGAGCTCCAGGATCTTCCTCAGACACTTTGTTTATTCTGTTCCAAACTAACAGCCCACTTCGTTATGGTAGTGTCTGACACCACTCTTCTATTTTGAGTAGAAATGCCTGCAGATAAACGATCATTCTTCCTGAGTTATACAATTGAAATGTTATACAAACCACCCCACTTCCTCTTCAGTGTTAAACAATAAACCTAATTTTGGGTAATTTTCCCTACACACACACACACACACACACACACACACACACACACACACAGTTCTTTAAGAACATAAGTTTCCCAGCACAGGATTCAGAGATATTATATAAGACAACAGCTGGAGATACAGAAAAAAAGAGCTCTTTATCCAAAGCAAAACATGGAAGGAAAGGAAACTGAAACTGCCTGAGCTATGGCGTGGGTGGGACAGATACTGCCTGTGCCTTTGCCATAATGTTTTGGTGTCTATTACTTATAAGAAACATTACGTGCTACTATTTACAAAATAACTGTTCCCCAAATGACACTGTCCTAGGCACTAAAAGAGAATACAGAATTATTACTGCTTTTCAAAAGCTTATCATGTTACTGAAAGTACAAAGCAAATGGAAAACAGTTATTATACAGTGAATAAATAATAATGAATAAGGCACAGGCCGCTTTAGAAAAAGTGAAGCCTTCATGAAGGAGGTGCCTAATGATTAGGCAGATGAAGGTGGAAGGATACTTGCTACACACTGAAGATCAAAAACCAGCATGGCTTATTCTTGAGACACTGAAAGGGGATAGAAGCAAACATGGCAGAAACAATTTAGGAAAATGTACAAGCAACAGAACAAGAAATGCAGTTATTTGTATAAGGAGGTAGCTTTACATCCTTCCTGCAATGACAAAGAAGCCCTGTCCCCAAAGTCCAAACTTGTCTCCACTCTGTCACGCTGGCTCAGCCCACATCATCACTTACCCGGATAAGAGAAGCCTGATGTCGAAGGGGTTTGGCTCCTGGACCCACAGATGAGGGTCCCTCAGGCTGAACAAGGGGCTGTCTACCTTCATAAGGAACTGAAATAACAGGAGAGAAAGTCAGCATGGTATATAAAGATTCACCCCAAAATTATTACTTCGCACTCAAACTGATATACATTTGCATTTCAGGAAGAATTAGCAAAGGAATTAGAGCATACGCTCATAAGGCCGTCTAGGACAGCAAAACCCTGATGTTTTTAGGTATAATACAAAGACACTCAACCCATTCATAATAAGGCAGGAAGATATTTACCTCAGGTTAAGATTGGGAATAAAGTATGAGGGTGAGAACCTCAAATGGGATTTAAAAAAAAAAAAAAAGAATAGCTAGAAACATGTTCAAAGTATTCAAATTCTAGTACAGTACACAGTACATGCTAATGCACCCCTGTTTAAATGTCTGCCTTTCATCATCCAATGCCCAAAGAAAACTAATATGCATTTTGAACACTAAGAATCAACATTGTCATTTATTTTTAAAATAAGTGGCACTGTCATCTTCATTGTACAGAATAGAAAACCAAGCAGAGAAAAATATTAAAAATAAATAAATGTATTTTGTGTTTATTATTCTACTACTCAATAACCAAACTATGTTCAAATGATTTTTCTATCTTTAAAAAAGACGTGTCTAAGCTAAGCTCTTAATTCCAGAACATTTAATAACCTTGCTAATATTGCAGGCAAACAGTTAAACATAACCAGGTAGTATTCGGTTCCAACAGAAAGGAGAAATTATCACCTAAGTCAAAACCACTTCTTGTCTCTGGGGGTGAACAGTCTGAGCTCTGGAAAGTATAAAAATACATAAAATGTTTTCTTTCTGTAACTGACTTATAAATAAAATTAGGTGGAGAGCAATGCAGCCTATTATGCTACCAGGTTTAACAAGGTTTGAGCTCTCTAAAATAAAGTACTAGAACAACAGCATATCAACAAACCACTCTTGGGCTCACATCTGCTTTTTGTATTTCTTCTTAGCAATGTTATAACACAGTAAAATATGGGAACATACTTTAAAATATCAAAATGATTGGTGGGCAAACCCTTAAGCAGATTTTCATAAAACTGCTAGGGATGAATCCACACGTAAAAACTGCAGAAGAAACCTACATAGAAGGCACATAATTCAAATCTGAAAAACTAGGTCTCCGCTGGTAGGCACGTATTGTCTTCTGACAAGTAGAATTTTTTAAATCATTCCATGCTGATGGAAAACTGAATTAAACCCTTCAATTCTATTCTCGTAGAAAGTTTTAAACCAAGTTAACTGCAGCCTGCTTAGGATCCTCATGGTCATGTGCTCTCCCTGAAAGTAAAACCCATGAATCCCATATGCCTCTGCTTCCCATAGGCAGCAGAGACCTTCTACTGCCCAGGGGAGACACACTGGAAGGAGGCCACCATCTGGCCTTAAGCTCTAGTCTTGCACCTCCAAAGACCTTCCCTTGGCAAGACAGATGTATTGCGTCAATGAGTCTTGGATGAAGCTCAGCTACTTGCAAGGTCATTTTGCAAAGGCAGATTTTCTCCTCCTGTGTGGGAAGCCTAGGCCATCCCACCGGCCTGGGCCTGAAAAAGTGAGCATGAGAAGTCCATCCAGCCACACATTTAAGACATATGCTCCAGTCAGCTGGACGAGCAACAAATATGATATTCAGGCCATCACTGGTCTGACTTCTGGCTCATTCCTCAATTGGATCTGAACTCAGGAGATAAAAAGTAGGTATTACTTATTACCTCGACTCTCTTTTCTCCCCAGTGAAACCCAAAACATGCAACTCAATGCAAACCAAATAATTCTTTGGTCTCCACACAGGAGGCTTCACAAAGAACTACAAGTACAGTCATTCTCCAAGGAGAGGAGTATTTTTAAACTCCTTAAAATGTCATCACTCTGAAGTTCAGTATCAAACTAAAACTCTTTGGTACTTTCATATATACCCACCCTAAGACCCAGTAATTCCACCCCTAGATGCCAGGGAAATGACAGCACATGTCACAAAAAGACTCATGTGCAGATATTCAGAGTATCTTTATTCATAAAATAATAGCCAAATACTGGAAACAACTCAAATGTCCATCAAAAAGAGAATAATCAGCAAACTGTTACACTCATGCAATGGATTCGCCTGAATAATAAAATGGAAAGAACTACCAATACAACAATATGGATGCATTTGAACCATTAATGCTGAGGGAAAGACAGATATATACAAGTAGAATCATTCTGTATGAACTTCCATTTCTATGAACTTCTAGAAGAGGCAAAACTAACCAATACTAAAATAATCTAAACAATGCTTACACTGGGGCTAGGGAGTGAGTGAAGAGGCACATCTCTGGCATAATGGAAATGTTCTATTTTTTATTTAAGTGGTGGCTACAAGAACATACCCATTTATTCAAAATGAAAATTTTAAATATGTGAATTTTATCATGCATAAATTTTACTGCACTTTTTTAAAAGTATAAAAAGGAATGAAGGTATAGAAATCCTTGGCATAGGCTGGTGACAGTTCAGAATGATGGGAAGAATGAGATTTGGGACCAGGAAAATGGGAGCCCAGTTTGATGGTATGAGGGGATGGGGCAGGAAATAAAGTACAGACAAGTTTTTTTGAAGAACATGAAATAGAACTTGGTGATAGGCTCAGTATAAAAAAACAGATTCGCCTATGAATTAAAAATCAACTTTCAAGCTCATATAAGAATACAAATAGAAAAAAGACCCACTTATAACAATCAGGAAATCAGGCAAGGGAAACTAGAAGAGAAAAATGAAGAATTCTCAACCCTGTTTAGGTTCAAACACCAATACACCAACAGAATATTAAAGTTTCAAGAGCGATTTTTTTGTTGCTATCCACTAGCAACATCATGTTGTATTTGCACAGGATTCAATTTCCAAACAGATTTTATACTCATTCTCACTGAACCCTCATAATATCCCTATAGGACACTGTGACTCTCATTTAAGAAGAGAAGAAACTATGGTTCAGAGAGTTAAGTGGCTTGCCTGAAGTCACGCATCTAGTCACAGAAGCCCACACCTTCTGCCTCCAATACAAAGACCTTTCCACCATGCCATACCCTCTGCTCTCCAAAAGATTACAGCCCTTCCTCAGTTATGCACACATTTTTATTTCTGTGACCCTCCAGAAACCACCACACTTTTCAATGCAGCCAGAGCCTGCAGAAACTGGGTCATTTTCAGCCATGGCCCACAAAAAAAGGGGTAGGAGTTATAGGGCATCTAATTCTAGAATACCCAAAATTGGTTGTATCTTAAACTAGCCTAAACCCAGAAGGACAAGGTACTGCAGTCAATCTATGTAGCTTTAAACATTGCAGTCTGCACAGCCAACTCTGCAAATCATCCTTAGAACCAAGTAACATTTTTTACCACTAACATAGCCACCAGAGCATAAATATGAACAAGCAGGCAACCCCACAACTGTATGTATTACATGTTTCTCAGCAGAATGCTACCCCTAGCATTTCCTTTACACTTATTCCAAAACACGAGGACTCAATATTTTCATTTCTATAGACAATATTTAAAGACTGGATCAACTCTTGCTTTTACATACTTATATTTTAAGGGAATTTCCTAAAAGCAGTTATTGTATAAATATGTTTAATATGTCTGCAGAAAGGAATAACAATCTCAGAAAATGCAAACCCTTAACATGCTATGTCCCTGTTTAATGAGATCTAGATATAAAAAATTAAACCATCTAAACAGTTATTCACAGGTCTAAAGATTATCTAGTTTCCAGAATAGGAAACAAAACATTACTGAGATATTTAATTTTTTAAAAAAAAAAAACCTTGCTTGAGAATACAAAATTAAATTGAATCATGTTTCCAAAGACAAAAGTAATTAAATCAGGAAATTAAGCAGCCCGTGGCATTGCTGCCTGGTAGATTAAGGAGTCTCTAAGACACTGACTGGGACAGCGGGCCCCCAGGTCGCCTCTTACCTGGATGCATCTGTTCTGTGCCGCTCCGCAGTTTGCTGTAGCCATGGCTCAAGGGCACCCTCTGGTAATGAGGCGGGGAGGAAGGAGGGGAGGCGAGGGGTGACATCGTGGGAGACTGTGTTTCCTGCTTCAAAGAACCAGAGCAGAATTCAGAGGAGACCACTCGAGAATCCTGGCGATCTGAACTGCAGTTAGGAAGCATACTGCAACTCTAGGGCTGGGGACCCAGCTGATTTAACAAATGGGGAAAAATGTTGCCTCAAAAATGCAGCATGGTTAAAAGGCAGTGTCTGAGGATTCAGAAGTCCCCCAGAGAATAAAGGTAACCAGTGCTGAGTTACCTAAATTACTGAAACCAGCCTGAAATGCTTTCACTATTCCAACAATATTTCCTTCAGAAAGTAGAAAACACTGATCACATGAAATTACCTTCACACCCCCAAAGTGTGATCTCTTTGGGGATAGATTCAATTTTTACTTATTAATAAAGATTCCTATTTCCTGGATATATACTTATCAAGTCTTTCAGAAAATGAATAATAATTTTTATTTTAAATAGATAATGGTAAGTACTCCTGGAGCTTACTATGGCAAATTAAAATATCTGCTTTTTATTTTGTTTTGTTTTGTTTTGTTTTACACTGCAAAACAATACCTTATGAGTAAGCAACTCCGTTAGCCTGCTCCTAAGTACTAGAGTGATGCCTTCACAAGCTCCAATTTGTTTCCCAATTCAAATATGAACCTGATAGAGGACCCTAGACAAGATAAGTAAACTGATTGGCTCCTGGGTTTCCCTCTCCCTTTTTAACATTACCAATAGAGTGGTAACTCTGAGGTAATAAAATAATAAAGAAATACTGTTTTTTTATAACACAGAGACTACATTGGCTTCTTTAGTCTGAAGAGAAATATGCAACCTGAGACACTGATCAAATACTCTTCTTCAAGAAAAAGAAAAATGTATTGCTTTGAAGTGTGTGCCCACACCATAGAATGGGTAGGCCAAGTAAAAACCCAGCCCGGAGTGAGAGGATAAATCCTTATTCACACAGCGGGGGACTGGAACTGGACATTTTCTGAAGGCATCGACCACTGTAGGGCAGTGGCTCTTCATTCCCCCACAAATGCTGATGGAGGAACATGCCAAAGAACACTGACTAGAAATCCCTATACTCACTTCTTTTTTTTTTTTTTTTTTCTTAATTACTTGGGCTTGAACCCAGGACCTTCACCCTGAGCTATAATCCCAACCTCTTTTTATCCTTTGAGAAAGGATCTTACTAAGTCTTTAAATTGCCCACAGAGTGCTGAGATTATAGGCATGCACCACCATGTCCACCTATCCCCCACCCTTTTAATATATTCCTGAAGAACTAGTTTAAAATGTGTCTACATAATGAAAGTAACAGTACAATTGTAGTATTGTTAACAATAACAGTACAATAAATGCAATTGTTTAACAGGATGTGCTAAACATCTCGTAGCTATAAAACTTCTGCAGCAATATCTCATATTCAACATCATCAGGATAAACTGTATGTTAGTTTTCTAGAATAATCCATTACTATTCATTGCATTTTAAAACATTTTGATTCAAATCTTCCTAAAATATAACAAATTCCTTTTATCTTATAGAAAATACTATGGCAAACATAATTTGACTTCTGTGTATGATTCAGAAGTATGAGCTATACACTGATGTCCTCAGAGTCTACCAATGCGAAGACTATTTAGCTCTTCTTGATAGGCCCCTTCTTTGGGGATATCATACTTTTGTCTGTACCAATCACCATCTGACTATTGCAATCAGTGGCCTAATTTTAAAGGCCTATCCTCCCTATTCTGATTCTAAACCTGTTAAATGAGTAACAGCAGCATTTCCCAAGATAGCGCTTTTAACATGTTTCCCAAGAAAGGATGCCCTGGTGAAAGGAGCTTAGTAAGCCCTTATCTCCAGGTCTCTTTACTGCAAGATTCCTCAGGGCCTGTACTGTACCACTGTGCACAATGAATTTCCAAGACTGGGGATTTAATCTTTTCCCCAAGAATGAGACATGAAGCTGCATTCTCCTCACACATTTAACTAGAAATTAAATTAACCTTTGTAACTCCTAGGAGTTACATTTCAAAGAACCTAGTTAGAAAACCACTGACCTAGAGAAATCAAATACGTGTATTAAATCAGTGGCCTTATTTTAGACACAATTCTCTTAAGTAGGCTCTAAAGAACCCATCAGTGGCTCGTGGTAATTCCTAAGCATTGGGCTCTTTTTCTTGCTACAAGGAAACTTCACTGGCTCCCTTCCAGCTCTGTAATTGTGTTCCAGATGGTGAGATTTGCTGGAAGCTCAATGACAGATAAGAGGCCCTGTGTTACACGAGGTTTCACAGTCAGAATCAAATGAACATGCCTAATCGGATTGTTTACCTGTTTTTCGTCATCGTCCATTCTTTTGAAGGAATTTTTTTCTGTCGTTAAATATGGAATCTGAACCTTACTTCCATGCAGTTCAGCTGGATTCCCAAATCGCACCTCACCGTCATTCTTGGACATCATAAAGCGAGGTAGAGGCAATTCTTTGAGAGCAGAATCAGAGAAGCTCAAGTGAGACTTTAGATAAAAACTGTAAAATAGGGGAACTCAATGGCCAAAAGATAAATCATTTTTGAGAAAAATTCCAGAGTAGTAAATATAGATTAAGTTTTTATTTAGGCACAATAAGGACTCCTAAAACACTGTCATGATGGAAAAATGCTACGGTTTAACCAAAGTTTTTCTGGCTTAACATTTTTCAATGCTGCTGAATCACTGCAAAATAAGTTCAAGTTTTGGACTAACCTTCCACTTCATCCTTTAGTCCAGTGCTAATAAAAAGGATGTGACATTGTATAGATACAGGAATAAATGACAACTTTAGCAGGAAAAACTTACAGAATGCTTAATACAATAGTAAGGGATCATGCAGTTAATCCTCACAACAACTCTGTAAGATAAAAGTATCAACATCAACTCCCTCTTCAGCTGTGGAAACTGACATGAAGGAGCTAAATAATGTCCCCAAGATCGCACAGGTCATCTGTGGGTGAGCCATGGTTTGAATCTAAGCAAGCTAGTTCTTTTGGTTTTTCTCCGGTACCAGGAACCGAACTCACGACCTTGCGCTTGCCAGGCAGGCGCTTTTGCCGCTGAGCTAAATCCCCAGCCCCGCAAGCTAGTTCTTAACTGGGACCCTACATTAAGATGCCTCGTTCTTAGCACAAACTTACTGGGTAGAACAGTTTCCCAGTCAATGTAATTCTTCAAGGAATTTTCGCACTCAATCTCCAGTTGTCTTTTGATGACATAATAAGGAAAATGGTACCAAATCAGAACAATCCATCTAATATTCAGCTAGGTTTTAATGTCACAATCATTATCCACTCACAATATGACAAAGAGCTGAAATGCAACAATCTGGTATATTTACTCGTCTTTCAAATTTCTGACAAAACTCTTCCGAAAACGGAAACGATGCTTTGGCACACTTCTAGTTCTCAGTACAGCAAATCACACACAGTCACACTGCAGGAAGACCCACGAAAATGGGGATAATATTATGGATTACACATAATGATTTGCATCTGTACTCATTGTTCAAGATAATACTCATCAGTGTGCCTTTGCACTTCTATCAGCTCTCGAGTCCAAAACACAGCTGCACTTCCAATGATCGATGTTGTGCTAAAGCCAGAAAACATTTTAGCAACAGCAAATACCCCAGCTCCCCAGGCAAAGGAAGCCCCTCCTTCTCTAATAGCCACACCATGTTTATTTTTAGTTGCTATGTCCACATTTGAGTCAAAGAAGCAGGCAATACAAGTCCCTGTGTGATCAATCAGCCAAGGGCCCAAGAGACATAAATAGAGGAATCAATCTGGAAAATTAAATCAAGACTCTCCTGTAACAGAGGATGGCTGCCATTTTTAATGTTTTAATTTTTCCCAACATTGGGCACTTCTCCAGCACTCAAAGCAGATATGGATTTCAAAAGCAAAAAGGCAAGAGAGAAGAAACTCTAGAATCTTAGTGAATCAAATATAAGCCCATCCTATGGTTCTGTTCTTAGAAAGGTATTTGTTTCAGCTCATTCTGAAAAAGGATCCAAAAAGATGGAACAAGATTACATAAAATACTTTTAAAATACTTTTTACCCTGGTCTGCCCATGCAAGGGTGACTCTACTTCCAAGTCTGTCTTGAAGGGAAAAGCAAGAGATAGGCAGGATTTATTTATAAATTTCTTGATCAGTATTTTGCTGGTATTCAAAAGATCACTTGTGGGAACAAGGGAACATAACATGTTGTTATGGTTTGTGTCTGGATGTCCTCCCAAAGCCTCATGTGGTCATGGGGGGTGGGCTTCTGAGAGCCAGCTAAATCTAGAGTGTGTGACTGATTCACAGTGCAATGTTGGGATTAAGGGTGCTGGGATTAAGGGTGGGTGGTTGCTGGATCAGTCCACTGATTGGACTGGCACTGCCCTAATCCCAGCAGTCTGGATAAAAGGGACAAAAAGAGGCTTGTTTCCCCTTTTTGCTCTTGTTGCTTATGTTGTCTTCCACTGCCATGAACTGTTGCCCCTCTGCCATACTGCCCCACCTTTGAACCAGCCAATTATGGACTGAAACCTCTACAAACTGTGAACTAATAAACCTTTCCCCCTTTAACTTTGGGCATTGGGTATTCTGTCTCAGCAACAAAAGAAAAGTAACTAAAACACCTGTAGTATGAGAAGTATCAATAGTTACATCAGGGCCATACATAAGACTCCCAGAGACTCGTTAGGACACTGTCAGTTCAAACGTTCTCTCACTCTGGCTGACGTTTCTCCAGAACTGTTTGTCCAGGAAACAAACATTCTTCCCTAGATGGCCACCAAACAGTGAAGGACAAAATTTTTATAGTTGAAATTTCTCTTGTACTTTTCTTCGGTTACATGGTTTTGTTGCTGCTGCTGCTGTTGTTGCTATCATTCTTTACTCTTTCTTGTTTTATTTTGAGACAAGATCTCATTAAGTACCCCAGGCTGACCTCCAAAAAGCCATAGAAACTACTGAAACAGTATTCACCGCTGTAAAATCCTTCTAACTCTCTCATAGGATCTACAAAACTAAGCACAGGAAGTGGGGCAGCAGGATTAGCCCTAACAGTATTGATTCTTATGTTACAGAAGACTTTCTCAGCCTCAGCACTATTCACATTTTGGACTAGATCATTTGTTGTTGTTAGAAGGGGCGGTCCTGTCCCATACAGTACAGGACATTTAGCAGCATTTCTAGCCTCTAACCGCTAAATGCCCATGGCACCCTCTCCACGTTTGTGACAACCAAAAGTGTCTCCATACATTGCCAGTTGTCTCCTGAAGGTACAAAATCACCTGGGTTGAGAATGAGCGTTTTACAGATAAGTAAGGAGCCCAAGCGAGTTAAATGATTTGCCTGGAGATCTTGGTGACAGATTTGTAACAACAACAGCGGTATATACTTTTTGTAATTTCATAGAACAAGAAAAATCTCCTCTATCCTGTCCCACAAAAATGAAGAGGACCAACATAAAGCTGCCAGCATTTTACCTGCCAAGAATTTTACCCCAAACTATAATCCATTATCAATTTCATTAAAAGATGCCTAATGATAGCAATGAAAAAATCTTAAGGTTTTTATTTAATTTTATACATCAGTTTTATAAATCATTCTTTTGTCCCAATTCTCTATCCGTCCACTGCAAACTGTGCCAGACACAGTCAGTTTTGGGAACACAGCTCTAGAGACTACCTGAACCACACCATTACCCTATTAGGGCTCAAAGCCTCCCAAAGGGACTACTGAAAAGAAATCAAGAGATGTGATAAAAAAAAAAAGTAGAAATCAAGAGATATCTACTCCTTAGATAAGAGTAAAAAATCATGTTTATTTCCTACCCTCATTGAAATTAAACGTTCCTTTCAGTTATGATTACAAACAACAAACCACTTACAGCAGTGATGGAGAACCTTTTAGAGCTTTCATTGGTAATAAACAGCCCACTGTGTCACACGTGCCATAGGTTCACCACCACTGCCTCATGGAATCCTTAGCAGTATGTGTGACTTTATAACTTACCTAATCAGGTATTTTCGTATCACTCTGCAGCTGTAGATATCTTCATGCACTGTTTATGTTCATTACTACTCTGAAGGTATGGTAGCTTTGATCACTGTCAGATCTTTCATTTAATATATTAGTAAAGAAGCGTGTATATTGCTATAACGCAATTTCTTTTACATATCTTGGTCGTTATTTTAAGACAATTATTTCCTTTATAATCCTGTGGCTTTGTATGTATTTAAAACATTGTTCTGGGCTGGGGTGTAGCTCAGTGGTACAGTGTGTGCCAAGCATGCCCAAGGCCTTGAATCTGATCCCTAGAACACCCCCCAAAAGAAAAAATATTCTGAGAAGGTGCCTGGAGGCTTCATCAAAAGGGCCTCATGGCACACAGAAGTTTAGAAGCCCTACTCTAAATCCTGCCTAACCTCCCCTCGGTTCTCACACATGCTTAAGTCCAGTCCCCAGAAAGAAAGGCAGCATTAGTTTCCAGGGCAAGTGTTTGTCACATGCTTCCCTCATCAGGAATTCCATCTGGTCCTCAACTTTCACCCCATTTCCTTCTACCCTCTAGGTAAGCTAATTCACACATTTGTTTAACGCCAGTTCCAACTAGGGTGAGGCTAAGGTGCTGCTTATTGCCAATATTTAAGGAAGCATTCATTCTCAGGGCCACGGAAGTGCAGAGCTGGCACTTGCACAACCTTGAGAGTAAGTACCCTGTAACTCATGCACCCTGGTGCCAACATAACCAAATACATACTCTTAGTTCAACCAAAATTCCTGAAAACGCGTGACATGGCTTTCATGAGAAATCTTTCTCAACCTTGGCTCCATTAAAGAATCAGCTGAAGATCTCTTGAAAATCCTGACTAATTGAATGAGAATTTCTGGAGGTGGGCCCAGGCACTTGTATTTTTATTTTGTATTTAAAGCTCCCCACGTGATTCTCAAGGACAGACAAGGAAACCAGGGCCTAAGAAAGATGGCAGGCAGACCAGGGGGCTTCTGCAAAAGGCCCTCCGGGGGTTCAGGGAATCTAAATGCCAACTGGTGCAGCTTTACTAGTGATGGGTGATTGAGACACCCTCATTATGCATCAACATCCAGCTCTCCAGTCATTCATTCAACTAGCATGCACTGAATGCCTACAACACCCTACAAGGCAGGAGCTACTTAGATCCTCTTTCCTGCCCCTTAGGTAAGCTTAGAGGCTAGTGAGGAAGACAGACAAAAAATTAGTTAAGCCTGTAATAGAATAGTTATAAACTCTATAAGGGAATAGATGCTAAGAGGGCACCGTCCTGCAGAAGAATCTCCAAACAGGCCCACCCAAGGATGACTCAGCTCCCTAAGAATATGTATTTCTGTTGTGACTACTTACTCTCGCTTAGGCATTTTATATTTCTAAAAGGCTTGATACTAACTTGTAGCAAACCATTAGCAAATGAGT